TGTCATTACAGAGCAAAGGAGGATTGATTGGCCACACAACAGGAACTTGGGAAAAAAGCAGATGTGAGAGAAGGAAAGAGGAAGATTTGGAAATCTAGGACAGCAGGAAAGTCACTGTATTACCCAACTAACACCACTGGCCTGAAGGTCTAGAGAGAGAAGCAGCAGTTTGGCAATGCAGAGAAATGAGAACACACAAACCAGCTCAATTTTATCTACTCCACACTGAATCACTCAGCAACTCTGCCTGATGCTGTGGCAAGTGGAATATCACGATTTTGGATCCTTCATTAGGAATAATTAGTTCACTTGTTGACAGCATCAAAAGAAAAGCCAAGAGAGAGACATTTTTCTATTCCTGCAGGAGCCTGCACGCTGTCCAGGGAAAGTTTGGGCTGTCCCTGCCTGTCTAACTCTCCCCTGTTCTCTGATCTGAGGACAGACTTCAACATCAATCTTACTCCTTTCAGTGCCACTAACATCCACTGTTATTAAAAATCAGAAATGTTATTTTTTTTCTCCCCTCTTTGATCTCATTCAAACCGTGAAAACAACAGCCTAAGCATTTTGCCCTGTTGTATCTCGGGGAGCTGGAAACCTTCTACCAGCAAGAAACTCTTCCAGCAGTTACCATGGTGACACTGGTAATAGATATTTAAAGGCAGCTCACTCATAATCACATCTATTAGATACCAGGAGGCTTTAGTAAGAGAGGCACAAAAAAGCTTGAAACCAGGGAACCAAAGAGGTTTGGTGATGGTATAACTGGACAAGAAATTCATGGAGAGGGATCTGCTTATACCATCATTTAGCTGAACACAAAGGGCTCCTGTTCAAAGCTGAAATGGCACTGAAGCCTGCAGAACAAACTATTTTTAGTCAATCTTTTAAAAATTGGTTCTGAAAGCCTCATTTCAATAGTGGCAGCTCTATAAATCCTTTCAGAGTGGTCATTGCCAGAAATACAATAAAAAGCTGTGCTATAGCTCATCCCCCATTAGAACCAGGCTGCTGGAAATCCCCTGGCCTGCCAAAGTCACCTGGAAGGGGTTTCCTCCAGCAGAGAAACCAGGCTGGCTGCAGATAATGCTGCTCTCTGTGCCCACCCCAATGTCCTGACACCACGAGCCCCAAAACAAAGCCCCAAACTCAGCTCCAAAGGGACCCTGCCTTCCACCTGGAGGGTTAAGTAGCCCAAGGAATAGTGCCACACTCCTTTTTAGACATTATTATGCAGTGAGGAAACCTGAATCTGGACAAAGCTGACCAAGTTGAAGAGGTGTGTTTGGTTATCCAAGTGTTAAATCATTTATTTCTGTCGGTTCTAGTTCTGTAGTTCCAGCCCACTGGAATGCAACGAAGGGAATCTGCAGATTCAGATCTCCAGATATGAAACCACCTCAAGTTGGCTGAGCCTGTGTAACAGTCATCAAATTGAGATTTCCTTTCTCTTTTTGCTGCATATTTCCATGACAACTTTCCTGCAGTATCAACTTCTTTATAATGGAAAGGTCTCTCAGAGAGAATTTAGGCTTCTATAGCAACAGCTTAAATCTCTGGGAGATGATGATGCCTGAAACTTTACACAGAGCTTTTTTTAGACCACACAAGTGCATTTCAAATTTCACAGGTGAAAACAAAAGTCATGTGTAATATTAGGGAAACTGTGAAGAGGAGAAGGAGTAACTTGCTGAAGTGGAACAAACACAAAGAAACCACCTCACTTTCAAAAGGGACGAACACTTTGAGATCTCAAACGTTAAAAGAGAGCAGACAGGATCAAACACTCATCTCAAAAAGCCACATCCTGTTCCTCCTCTCTGAGCAACAGAAGACAGTCACAAGGAACAAGTCTGCTGATCCTAAAAGGAGATTTTATTGAAAGACCTCTCTCTGCAGTCTATTTTATATTGACCTAAAGAAAAAAAATAATAAAAAAAAAATCTGTGACTCAGAATGCCTTTTAACTCCCATATACCTGCCATTTAGCTGCAATCTAACCTTTTTTTTTCCAGTACTTTAGCTGTTTGCCATGGTAGTGACAGTATCCTCCAACACTGAAAGCCTTGCTGCCTCAGAAGAAAAAAATAACTGCACTCTCAAACAAATAAATTGGTTAAACTCAAAAGCAAAGGGAAGTACAGAAGCTAAACCAGCTTTCTTTCACTGAATTTAATATATTTTACAAAATACTCCTCCAATGTGTTTTAAAAACCAAAATCTCCTAAAGAAAAAAGATAAAATACTACATTCACAACCCAGATGAGAAGCAGGAAAGGATCATGTTTAATGTATAGGATGGAAATGAAGCCCAGCAGGACCCAGCACCCTTCCTTTTGTAGCCACTGGAAACATCTTTGCTACACAAGAAGTGAGGTTGGCAGTGGGATCACCTAAAAAACAGCCACACTTTCTTCTGCTTGTTGTGACTGAAAGCTTTTCCTTTTTTCCTTAAAATATCCATTAATTTGCCCCCTTTTCCTCTCATTCCCCTCCATCATCACAGTTCTGGTAAGGGGAAAAAGGTGCTCACAAGCAGGAACTAATGAAAGAGGCTGGATCTGATCTAATTCTTGTGGACTTCCACCTTCATCCACTTGCTGCCCACTTCAGAAAAGACTCTGGAACTGGCAGTTTGACAAAATAATGTTGAGTGCTGTGAAAACTTACTTTTATTTTTTTAATAGCAATGCCAAAAATGACAGCTAGAGCCTGTTCAAAGCCTGGGAACTCTGCAGCTAAGACGGATGCAAACCCAGGATTTCAGACAAACCCTGCATTATTTCCAAGGGTTATCCTGTCTGGAAGAATGCTGAAGTGTGGGAGAAAGACTGAGTCACTGTAAAGGTCAAGTGAAACGCAATTATTTGGTGTCTCCATGTGCTGCCCTCTGCTGAAACAGACGCCGAGCTCGTTGGAGCAGCAAAAAAACTCGGGATCATCCGCGCCCACTGCTGCCATGGCACAGGGAAGGGACACGCTCGCCCGAAATGAAAATGTTCCATTTCATGGCACCAGGAAAGGATAAAAATAACTTAAGCCCTTGTGCTGGACTGAACAGCTCCAGGATGAAAGAGTGGCTTCAGGGACAGCAGTCCTGGAGAGGGAAGAGCACTGGATGCATCACGACTGCAGTGATGAAGGTTCACAGGCTTATAAGAAAGAAACAGCTGAAAGTTTCATTTGAACAACTTATTTATCAAAGATGTGTTGAACTCTCATATTCCCTCTCAAATCCTTAATCCTCCATCTGATTTCACCCACGCAAAAAAATCTGTTCAGGCAGATGAGATTATTCAAATACTCAAGCACAAGTATTTGTTCGTAAGTAGAACATGGAGCAGCATGAATGGGAAAAGGAGAAAACTATTAAATATCTAAGGGTGGAAATATAACACAAATATAAGAGTATTTATAAATATATTTTATATAATCTTATTTACAAAGATATTTACAAAAATATTATCTTTAAAAACAAACAGTAACCCAGCATTTCCTCCAAAATCCAGGAACTGAGAAAAGCAAGTCAAAGCAATATTCCAACTATACATGTAAACTTTCAGTGCTGAAAATTCAAATCCAACATACCCTGTTTTCCCTTCATGCCTTTGGAAATTAGACTTTGCCGTGTGACTCCGAGATCAGCCCAGCAAGGTTATTTTGGATCAAGGAGAAGATTGAAATCTGAAGTTGAGGGCTCCTTAGGGAGATCATCCTGCCTGCAACCTCCTCTACCTTGTAAAGATCCCGCTGTAGTAGTTTTTAAGAGCGTGCTTTTCCGGGGTTTCTGACCTTAAAAAAGAGCTTAAAACCCGCCCCAAACATCAATAAACAAGCAAAAAAAGATTAAAAAAGAGTGAGAGGGAAGAGCAGCAGGCAGGTGGCCCCGCTGGTGCAGCCAGTAGAGGGCAGTGGAATTTAGAGGAAAGTTGTTGAACTTCGTGTAATTAAACATCTGAAGTGATAAAACCACCAGTTTACATCGTTATTTGAACCTACCTGTTCTGGCCTAAACTAAGACATAAGCAGGACAGAGAGCAAAGGGTAATAGAAAAGAAAGAAAATTTATTACTTTGGGACCTTTAAAGAGTTGCACTTTGGGCTACGATGAAGATTTCAGACTTAAAGCATCATTTAAAAGTAATTATTTAATCTTTTAAATAGCTTCCAATTATTGCAATACACTAATTCAACGCATCCTATTGAAACCAACATAGCTGTTTTTCATGGGTTTAAAAACCACAGATAACTTAAAACAGGAAAAATATCAATTAAGAAGAAAGGTGTCTGCAAGACAGTCCCATCACCACTTGTGAAGATGAAAACTGGTTCTAGTCCACAAGAACGAGAAAGTAAGACAGGTTAAGCAAAACGCAACACAAGAAGATTTTTAATGCTCACAGCACCTTGTTTAGGAAGGGGAAAAGCAACATTTCTCGCCCCATCGCCAAACAGCACAAGCACCCCAGAGCCAAGGCTCCTGCGTGATTTGACACGAGCCCAGTTCGCATTTTGTGATGGAAAGACAGATTTTGGTTACTGTCTGAGCCCTTTTGAGACACGCAGGTTCTGAAGTAACAGCGCTGCTCCACAGCAGGGGAAACCCAAGGTTTGGCCGGAAAGGCTTCCGAGGACATCGCGGGGACACGGACAGGGAGCAGCTCAGGTGCCTCGGGCTCAGGTGACGCTGCGGGGCCGAACCGCCCGTGGAGGGTCCAGGCTCGGCACCGGCACCGTCCGCCCGCCCGTGCGGGACCTGTTGCCCTCACACACCGGACCAGCCCCGCGGGAGGACGCGGCGGCCGCACCGCGACAGCTCCGCGCCTCCCGAGCCCTCCCCGCACCTCAGCCCGGGCACGGGGACTCGGTCCCGCACTGCGGCACCTCAGCCCTCCCTCAGCCCAGTGGTGCCCCGGGGGACCTTACCGGTCCCTCGCCAGCCCTGCCGGTCCTCCGCAGCCCGAGCGGGGCTCTCAGCTCCCGTTACCCCCCGCGCTCACCTGCCGCCTCTCCCTGGGATGCTCCCGCAGCCGGAGCCGGAGCGCAGCGCTCACTCGCCTGCAGCGGCCGCACCGACCGCCAGGGGGCCTCCGCGCGGCGCGCCGGGTAATGTAGTCCCCGCGCTACCCGGCACATCCAATCACGCTCCGCGCCGCGGAGCATGCCGGGAGTTGTAGTACATCCCCCGCCATGCACGCTGGGAGGTGTAGTCCAGCGCAGCGGCACGGCGGCGGCGCCTCCCGGCAGCGGAACTACAACTCCCGCGAGACAACGCGCGCGGCGCCGGCGCGGCGCTGAACCCCCGGCCGGTGTCCCAGGGCCGTCATGGCGGCCCCGCCGCCCTCCGTGCCGGGCGAGCCTCCGCCGCCCTCGCCGCCGCTGCAGTACAGCGTCCTGCTGGAGCACCTGGTGGGCGACAAGCGGCGGCCCCGCGCGTGGGATCCCGCCGTCTTCGGCGGCATCCCCTGCCCGCCCAAGAGCGAGGAGCAGAAGATGGTGGAGCGGGTCATGGAGAGCTGCCCCTTCAAGGCGGCGCTGGCCTGTGTGGGAGGTGCGGCGGCTGAGGGGGCCGGGGGCGGCTGGAGGGACGGGACAGCCGCTGTGGGGTGGTTCGGGAGTGGGGTATCCCTGTGGAATCGGGAAAGGTTGATGGAGAAGAGGCTGCAGCCCCCGCCTTTGGTTTTCCTCCTTTTAAGCCTCCCCCGGCGCCTGTCACAGGTCCCGGGGAGGGATCGCTGCCTGTCTGCCTTCCTTGGAGAGGCGGAGGTGCTTTCCCCAGCACAGCACAGGCTCTCAGCGGGTGTCCGCGGTACCCACAGACCGGCCACTCGGGCTCCCGCACTGCCCCCGTGGCGCTCCAGGGCTGCTCTGGAGCCCGCGGGGAATGTGCCACTCCAGGGAATGTGCCGCTCCGATCCCTGCTCACTGTTACACTGTTTGCCTTTGACAGGGTTTGTCCTGGGAGGCGCGTTCGGGATCTTCACGGCTGGGATCGACACCAACGTGGGGTTTGATCCCAAGGATCCCTATCGCACGCCCACGGCCAAGGAGGTGCTCAAGGACATGGGGCAGAGGGGCATCTCCTACGCCAAGAACTTCGCCATCGTGGGTGCCATGTTCTCCTGCACGGAGTGCGTGGTGGAATCTGTGAGTAATAACCTCTTCAGCACTGAGAAATGTTTTATTGTATACTTACTTGTACTAGATGCACGTAAGTATGTATATCCCCTTTGAAAAGTCCTTTTCAGTTTATGTCCTGAATGTATTGGCAAGTGTAGGCATTGCTTTTTTAAACCCTGGCTACAAGTGGTTTTTACTTTAAAACTCAAACGGTGAGTTGCAGCATGGTAATTTGAGTGCCTAAAAATTCCATATGTAGAATGGGATCCTTTGATTAGAGTTCTTAAGTAACAGTTAGCCTGTTTTCATCTGGCCCCTACAGCAAGAAATGAACTTGTGCAGCTCAGCAATAATCCAGTTTCTTAAATAGGAAAATTACCCTGTTATGAATTTGAGTCCTGCCTTTTAATTGAAAGACACAGCTATTTCTTAACTCATCTAAAGAAAAGTAGTATCTAAAGAAAAGTATCTGCTTGCACAGTGGAGCAGAACAAATTGGTCTCTGCACTGATGAAAATCCAGCGTGTCCTGGCTATGGAAATAGTGCATCTTTGTCAGCAGGTGCTGTGGCTCTCACCTGTGCCAAGAACCAGCAGCTTGGCTGGGCTCAGGGCTGCACTCAGGTAGTCACAGCACTTTTAAACCCTCTAAGCAAGTGTTCATGTTCAGTGCTATGTGTTGGGGATGTAGCAGCTCACCTGAGGATCCTTCCTGTAGCACTGCATTGCACCATGTGGATTTGTCTTACCTCTCCCAGCGACCTGTTCCTTCCTCCTCTCCTGGCCCTGCAAGTTTGGGAGTGCAGGGCCATCTGCTGAGAACAGAGGGAAAAACATCCTCAGCTGAGAAGGGGCTGGAAGGTCGTTTAATCTTCCTTGCTGTCAGTGCAGATACTGAGTGTTTATTCCGTATTTACTTGTTGACTCTGATTTTCAATTCCACAGTATCGTGGGAAGTCAGACTGGAAGAACAGTGTTATCAGTGGCTGCATCACGGGAGGAGCCATCGGCTTCAGAGGTTGGTGGTGCCTGCTGGGAACTGTTTCTGTGATAAGACTTGAATTTGGTTACAGAGCACACAGTGTTCTGTGTGGAACACACACTGCAGACCTCTTTGCATGGGGACTGTAGTGAAGCCCAGATGAGGATGTGCTCCATTCTGACAGGACTGCGCCCTCATCTTCCTGTCAGCTCCAAAGATAAGTGTGGGTAGGGAAAGTTTGGTCATACAGGACAGTGAGATTGGAGGAAAATCAACAGAATTCACAAGAAGAAGAATGAGGAGATGCTGTTGGCTACCTAACATTCTTCTGTGGTGTAATGAGGAGGAAGCCAAAAATATACAACTCCAAAGCTACAGCTCTTGTGTTAACAGAGCTTTATTTATATCTGCTATTTCACTGGCAGTAACACTTAATTTGCTTTCCTCCTTTCTTACGTATCAAACATATGTATGGAGTAGGAGCACTAGGGTTTTAGTCCAGCAGCACTAGTGGGGAATTTGGGAAGCCTTCAGTGGTAATAACATCTGGGAAAAACCCCAAGTAGGAAGAGACCTGGTCTGCTCATCAGAAATATCAAACTTCCTCCTAAAGTAAAAAGCCTGTCCATAGAGCATAAAAGAGAAGAAAGCTCTCTTGAAAGTGCTTCTAATTGAGCTTGTTAAGTTGTGTCTGTCCTCGACCTAATCCTCTTAGAGCTTTTAGAGCCATAGCTGCTCTTCCTGTCCCTCCCTAGTCCCACAAAGCCACTTGCAGTGCTGAGATCAGAGCACACCAAAATCAGCAGTGGCCAGTGAAGTGTCCTCTTCTGTCCCTTTGTGGAGACTGAGCAACACAGGACCCAGCCAGGGTGTCCTGCTGGTCCCACTGTGGGCGTTGTACATCAGGCTCCCCCTCACCTTGGGCAGTGGCAGTGCCAGTGTTCCCTGGAGCTGCACTGCCACATTCCTGCAGGTGTGACCCCTTTGAGCCAGCACAGCGTAAGCAAGTTACTGGGAAGAGAAGTATTTTTCTTATTTTGCCTCATTTTCCCCCCCTCCTTGCCTTGCAGCCGGGTTGAAGGCCGGGGTGATCGGCTGTGGGGGATTCGCCGCTTTCTCCGCTGCGGTCGATTACTACCTGCGGTAACAGCCGGATCCCTCGGGAGCGGCCTTCCCTTTAGCTCCAGTGCTGCTGCTGAGAGCCTGCACCACGGCACAACCACCAGGCTTACCTTTCCACTGCCTCTGGAGTCCCGATGAGCGCGAGCGGGACGGTGTTGGCCGCTTTTCTGAATGACTAACAACGCTCTGGCTCCCAGCCCGGGCGAGCTGCTCCGGGCAGACTCGCGGGAGTACGCGAGGATGGAGCCAGGGACAGAGCAGCATCTCCAGGACGGATCAGCTGACTGTCAGTTTCCAGGAAACATGCCTGGACTCTGAGCTTTTTCAATCTGACTTTGATTAAGTCTGTTGCTGGCATCAAAAGAGGCAGGAGGACAATCTCCGAACAGAAATGCACCGATTTAGGTTACCGGGTGTTCGAACGTGCTGCAAGTGTTTAACAGTTACCAGTTTGCAGCTTGCTTCTCTGTTGGGGAGAGGTAAGATCCTGTGGAGAAATAAGTTTGTTCCAGGCTTTTCTTAAAATACCATTTGAAGACAAACCACCATCTGTACAACTTGTCTTATTTCATAAGTACAGAGATGAGCGCCAGATTTCTTTACCATGTCTTAAAGGGAAAAGCAGAAAGGAATCCTTAGCCTTAGAGCCATGTGGTTACTGGCAGATGAACAAAACAGTTTAAGGGGAAAGAAAAAGAGGTTATTGCTGAAGTATAATTCTCTGTAGCCACTTGGCTAGCCTGATTTAACCTCGCTGTGGGAGTACAAAGAATTTTGCTACTGCTTTAACTGCCCCAGGCTCGCCCCATTAGTTCCAGCAGTTTGATAGTGAGACTAGAAAGCAGAGCTGTGAGACTAAACCACTGTTTGACAGATAACTGGGCATTCACTCAGCACACAGTCTGCTTCCTGTCACATCCCTGTGCCACCTCAGAGTGCCCCAGTGCTACACTGGGGGGAGTGAAGTGTTATTCTGCTGAACATTGGTGCTGAAGGCAAAATATGTTTGTTAGCCCAAAGAGCTGCTGCCTTTGTGATTTGTGCTCCTGCTCTTCTAACTAAGCTCTGTTCTCAGACCTCAGGGGGTCATTTTTAACCTTCATTGAGCCACTCCAAAAAGGCAAACACCCACCACCATCCTTTTGAGGCAGTGGGATTTCAGATGCAGTGCACACACCTAATGGGGTTCTCCCACCCACTTCCCCTCCTTTGCATCCACAGTTTGACATCCCAGAACAGTGACAGCACATGCTTATCTGGAGGAGCAATACTAGCAGGGTTGTTTGGCTGATGCAGTGGTCAGTTTGGAGGCACATTGTCTCCCATTCCCACACAGAAGTGGGGAGACAGCACCATGTGATCTATCAGATGAGGTTTCCAGATCTCCTGATGTCCCTTGCTGTGCCTGTTCAGTATCCTCAGGCCAGAAGCTGTGCAAGTCAGCTGAATTTTAAGCTTGAGTAATTCTAGGCTGATTAAACAGGCTGGCTCCAGACAGTCCAGGTTGTTTTCCTCCAAAATGCAAGGATGTAGCCCAAACCATAGGAAATCTCTTCAAATATTGCCTGGCCCACTGCCTGTGCTTATACCACTGGCTTGAAGTGCAACTAGCAAGAATTCCACGACAGAAAGAGTAGAAGCTGTGATGCCAAGGTGATCAGTTAGTGCAAACAGCAACACCACAGGGCTTCTTTTGTGCAAATATCAGGGCTTTGCATTTTTATTAACATTTTTTTTTCTCCTCACATGGTTTTACAGCCATTTAAAGTTTATAATCTACAGAAATTGAAACAGAACACAAACAAAAATATATCCTTAACAACTTTTGAAAGTCAAATATTAATTAACAGTTCTATTCTACCTGTAGCTGCAAGAGTCCACCCCCC